GTATGAACAGATGAAACGCGCGAATCAAATAGTATGGCGGCGTTTTAAAAACGCTGCCCGCACTTATAAGCTGCCCGAAACGGGCCCTTAAGAAAAAGCTTTTGTTTTCATATGGTGATTTGACTAACTTGATGCTTGTTAAAATAGAACCTTAGAGCTTCTATAACATAGCCACACATGCTAGAATGAAACTTCAGTGCATAAATTATAGATTGATGTTTTATATATTGATCCCATTGGGTTTCATCCTCTCTATTTACATTTCACAAAAAAACCTTTATAACTTCATCAATCATGTTATTTCATTAATGATTCATGATTACATTATACTTGTTACTATTGGCTTTAATGTCTTTCTTCTACATGAATTTCATTAGCTTAATAACATCATTATACCATCCCTTCTTGCAATACCAAATGAGCATTGTGTTATAGGACCATTTCAACATTACTATCATTGCAATACCAAATGGGATTTCAGGTGATTCCATTCATTTAATATGTTTGGTAAAATTCTATTGGAGTACTTTAACTCATTATACATTTGTTTTACTATGTTTTTTGAGGAAGATTTACCATCTTATTTGAGTGGAATTGAGATTTGAACCAATATATTACAACTCTTTTCTATATATGTTATTTTAACTTAAATCAAATATTCATGAGATTTAATATTTGAATAGTAGGAGGCTAATTTTATAATTAGCTATTCTATTTAAATATTAATAAAATAATATTAAATTCATAAGATGAAATATTAAAAGATAATTTTATTTAAAATCAATAAGACGATAAATGTTTCTCAAAAAGTATAGTAGAACAAATGTACGATGAATCAAACTACCGTAACAGAATTTTATCATAATTTTAAATAAAATGATTAGTATTCTTGCATATTAATTAAAATTATACTTGTAGGTATCATGGCCATAGTGGCGAAGAGACGTCGTCACGCTATGATCCCTGTGACCTTATCAGTGTTGCACCACGCACTCTGATTGATCCAACTATGTTAATGTTTCACAGTACAACTATGTCAACATATCAATGTTGCAACATCTTATATAAGCATTTATGGATGTATCCCTGTATTACATCTTAATAAGCATAATTCATGAAACAACCCATCAGGTTTCACAGTCTCAACATTTGGAGAAAGGTGGTCAACACCATTTAAGAACAAGTCTGTTTAAGCACTTAAGCTGTAAACACTGATGACAGATACTATACCTCCAAGAAAACACCGCACATTAGTATTTCAAGTCTTTTCCCTATTCATAGGTGATGTATTTCTACAATTTTTTTACTAATGTTTTAATATTAAATTCAACTATGAAAAAACTAAAGTCAAGTTGTATTTCCCTATAGATATCTACCTAAGTGGTTAGTAATTGCTTCCATTAGGTAGAGTTCTGGAACTAGTATAAATGTTTTTTTTTATGGAAAAAGGGGAAATATGAGCTTCTAATTCGACATTTCCTTCCCAAGTTTTTCATATCTTCAGCCTAATAAGCTCTTAAAGTGAATATTTTTTTGCAATTTCGATAGTGTTGAAGTTGGTTTTGGATTTATTTTTTCTAGAGCTATTAAAATATCTATAAACGTTTCTCATGAACTATCATATGATTTTCAAATACCTTTTGAAAGATATATTCCACTATTAAAAAGTTAAGAAAAGGGTATTTTTGATGTGATAGTTCACATAGGAGATAGAGTTAAGAAAGTGGTATATTTTATGTGAAATGAAGGTTTTGGATTGTATAAATGTAAGAAAGTAAAGCTTAGGGTTTGAAGTCTATCACGGGCTTCTTTTTCATATGATTTGAGGTTGGATATATAAAGCTTAGGGTTTCAAGTCTATCACGGGCTTCTTTTTCATATGATTTGAGATGTGTACTAGATTGGACTTACACAACTACATCTCTGACAATGTATGATTAGCTGAAGGCAAAACTCACTGAACACATTTATTTTTAATTGATCAAATATGTTCATGCATAGACTCTTTCTAATAATGTTGTATGAGAACTTGGCCAAAGGTTTAAGAAGATGTTTCATGACATGATTGGTGCAATTTGTGAAGTTCTTACTTACCATTGTGGTATGGTTTGGTGAAATCTCTTAGGAGAGTAACATGTAATTCATATGAATAAGAATAATTGGGTGTTAGGTACTTGAACAAAAAGAAGTCTGTGCCTTGCATTTAAATCCCCCTTATTAATTGGGTTTTAAATTTGCCTTTTCTTTTCTTTTTATCAATTTATATCTATCTCATTCATACTTCACTTATTGCCTGTTATGTTTGTAATTTTGTTACTCTAGATGCCAGATGGTTATAGGGGCTCAACATATCATTTCAACTTTTTGTTAGCACAAAAGTCATACATAGCACTGTAATTTTACTTGCCTTTAATAAATTATTTTATTGGATATATTTAGCATTTTTAATTTACTTAAACCTCATTTCCTTGATGGAAACTTTTTTTTTCTCTTAAAATTCAAAAAAGTGCAACAAACTTTTCTCAAGCGATCTCCATGAGATTGAGATTCTAGCAGCTATTGCAAAGGGCGATCCATCAAATTGCAAGTGTGTTGTCCAGTTTAGGAAGTGTTATTTTTTACCCTCAATTATTGAACTAAGGTAAAATGACAATTTGATAATGTGACACCGTTCACCTACCACATCTCACCTACCGCTCACCTACCTCCCATCTACCACTCTTTTGCTTCTATAAATAGAGAGGGTGTGAGACTTAGGAGAGCAAAAGAAGAGATCTTAAGCTACCACAAAGGAGGAGAGAATAACTAGAGAGCCAGAGAAGATGAGAGCATCTTTAGGCCTTGTATCAAGGTGTCGCTTGAGAGGGATGTCATGGAAGGAAGACGAGGGCTCATCTCTATGTATAAGTTATGTATTCTCTATTTCTTTTGCCTTAGTGAACTATTTGATTGATTCCCTCTTGTGGACGTAGATCCAGTTGGATTGAATCACGTAAACGATTTGTGTTTCCTTGTGTTCTTTGAGTTTCATTTCTATGCCAGGAAGTACATATCTCACAACAGGAAGAATTTTTAATCATGTGTTTTGAACATAAATGAGAAAGAGCTCGCTGCTGCAATTAACTAGCTCCTTTCTAGATGATGAGGATGATGAGCTATTTAATTAAGCCATGGTTTCCTATCTGCTTCGCTGTTTATTATCATCCATGCAGTTGCCATGACTTGATGTTTTCGCTATGTTGTGGAGTGCGCATTGGTGGAGAGCAAGGCGTATATTTAATTTTCTTTTTTACTTTTATATGATTCTTGTACTAATTTTTCAGTTATACAGTGCTTTCTATACATGACTTGATATTTTCATGGAACTTTGTGGGTCCTTCTGTATGTAGTGTACGTTGTTTGGATATATATGTTCTATACGGCTCACATCTTTGTCATTCTAACCAGCTTTCATGATAATTCGACACTAAGCAACTCGCTATTGGAGTTAGTTGTCCTCGCTGACTAAGGTCTGTTTGTGGCAGCTTATTTAGTGCGGTGGCGTTTTGAAAACGCACCTGACCTGTTTGGCTAAACTGCATTTTTGCAGCTTATGCGTTTTCAAAACGCTGAAAACAACATTTTCACACCGAACCTGTCTAGGTGCGGTGACAGCTTTCTGACAGCGGTCTGTTACACCGAATCTGTCTAGGTGCGGTGACAGCTTTCTGGCAGCGGTCTGGCTTTTCCAAAAAAATAAAAAATTATAATAGCCACCGCATCTATCTTATCACCAGATTATGTTTAATCAGCTTATTAGCAGGTTATTCAACAAGCTGCAGCTGCCCCAAACAAACCCTAAAACAGATCTTTGCAGTTTCGCAATCATGTGTGTAATTTAGCAGAAATTGTGGTATTTGCAATTTATTGTGTTATGTCTACTTTCGCACATAGAATGAAAATTTTTTAAAAACCTGCTCAAAATTAGAGAGTTGGCTATTAACAAAAAGATCTTACAAACAAGACAATGATAATAGTAGAAATACCTCCCTAATTTGAAAACATGCTATTAGGAATCCTTACCATTTTAACAATAATGTGATGCAGCACATCCTTATCTCCAACAATCCAATTACGCTTCCGTACACAAACCACTTAATCTCCCAACTAGGGGTGTAAACGAACAGAGCTTATGTTCGTGTTTGGTTCATTTGAAATTTAGTTTGTTTGAAATAAACTCGTGTTCGAAATTGTTCGTGAAGTCACTCTTCGTGTTCGTCTCTTAACGAACAAATCAAACACGAGCTGTTCACGAACGACGAGCCAGTTTGACATCCCTAATATTAATATATATATAAATAATATATTATATTAATTATATAACTTATATTATATAAATATGCAATATCTATATTAGTATATTACTAACATAATATATTAATATATTATTATTATTATTAATTCATTATATATTATAATTTATAAAATTTAATTTTTTAAAATATCATAAATTTTAAAAATATAATAATTTTAAAATAATATATATTTCAAACAATAATGATTTGAACATATACGAACGCATCACTGTTCGTGTTTGGTTCTTTTAACTAACCGAATGAAAAAAAATTGTTCATGTTCGTCTCGTTTACTTATCGACAAATCAAACACGAACTCATTGACGAACCAAACACGAACTGTTCGCGAAGAACGAGTTTTTTTGACAGCCCTACTCCCAACTACTAACATTAATGGTCTTGAATACTAAGCTTTACTGAAAATGTTTTCATTAAGAGTAGAATTTCAAAGAAAGAAAGCATTTAGTGTTATTTTTATATTTTTATATAATAATTTGACACAATGGGTTTTTATATTATAATTAACGGGTATTTTCATCTAAAAAAGTTTAGAAGCTATTGATCTCATTTAGTATCACAACATACATGACAGGATAAAAATAAAATTAACAAAGAGAAGATGAATGATTTTCTCACTTCAAACTTATCATTTTTTTGTACCAAATAATAACTAATCCGTTGGGCTAAGAAAAAGATAAATATGCATAGTTTATAGATAACTAAAGCACTAATTATATTATATATAAAGCTACATCTTAGATCTTAATATATTATAAGTAGGTTGCTTTATAAGTTTGAAAGCTGAAACCCAAAGATTTTCCATGGGTCTTGATCACTGAAGAGCGAGGTTGAATCACCTTGTTGTTGTTGTTGATGCAAGTGAGGCCTTTTTATGTCTTCTTCAGTTTGCGTGGCTACATTTCTTGTGCCAACAACATTCGAACGAATTCGAAAATTTTGATTCTTCCATGCTGAAATATTATCATTTCCACAAACTATGTTATTAAAAAATTAAGATAACAAAAAATGACTGTAAAAATGGAGAGTATGGTAGGAGACATACCATCATTGATGACTACTTCGCCCCTAAAATTTGAGTTTCTTGTGGCGGCAGCGTGTTTATTGTTGTCTTTCGAAAGCCTTTTGCGGGTGTTTGTATCAAAAGCGAGTGTTTCATTGGTTGTGTCGATATAACTCGGCCTGCTAACGTTAGAAGCCATGTTGTCTAACCCAGTAGCAGAAGGGGGCTCCGGGTCGAATGGGGGGAGGAGAAAAATTCGAAGCTTTGCAGATTTATGATTGGAGTTTTTTGAGAGAGAGTCAAATTCGTCCATCATGTGCTCCAAATCCTCAGCAGTGTGAATTGAGACAAGTATGTCTAAATTTTGACCAGGAAGCTGATAGCAAATGCGAACAGGGCCTCCATAGATTTTCTCCATCTTGCAATAAAATTCCTGAAATGTGATATCATGGGGGACGGCAATAATCTTTCTTTGTCCGCCAACATAGTGCAGGTTTCTGTCGTCATGGCCACGGGGGATGAGCTTGCCGCCAAAGCTGCAGAGGAGCTTCACGACGTTGCATGATGATGGGTCTTCAGCTTTGACGTCAGCATCGGGCAGGTTGTACAAATGTTGTTCGTGATAGAAATTCCAGAAGAGAGGCTTGGGGCAGGGGTCGGGACGGAAATTCCAGTTGACGGACAGGGGAGCGCAGGAGTTCTTGGAGTTGGGAGTGTTACGAAAAAGGGGAAAAAGGCTAGAAAAATGGAATGGAGAGATGGGAAAATTGACTGGTGGTTTATGCATATGCTGGCTAAAGGAATGCACAAGCCGCAGCATTTTGCCGAAGCAAGAAGAAGCAGAGGAGGCAGCAGTGGACCTCTTTGGGAAAAGTAATCGGACAGGAGAGGGCTACGAAGTGATTCGCGGTAGAAGAAGAATAGCTTCGGAGCAGAAGCAGTGGTGGCGAGAGGTGGCAATGGTGGTATGGGAGCAGAGAAGAACTGATTCGAAGATTTCGAAGCAGAAGGGCGATAGGTTTTCGGAACTGGAAGGAGTGGAAGGAGGGGAGTGACGTTAAGAAACGAATAAAAATGAAATCTTTATTGTACAATTGTACAGGTGTTCTCATCCGCTCGGAGCTCGCCCTCCACAGCGGCAACCTCCCGCCCGAAAATAACGACCGAATTCCTCTAATTGCTCAACTGTGCCGAAATTCTTGATCTTTAACTTAAAAAATGCAATTTTTTTTAATTCCGTTAGGTCCAAAGCGCAAGTGTGAGTCAGAAACATCTGAATATTTGGAATTAATTTGATGGATCCAAACTGAATTATAAGCAGACTGCCATTTTTTTTCTTACTTCATTATGTTGAGCTGAAATCTGTGTTGAGTGGATATTGCATGGAAGAGGGAAAGATATGCTATTTTCGTGTATTGGAAGAGTACTGAGTGTGAATTCTGTCAATAGCAATGTATAGGTTCGAAATAAGTAAATACGCAAAACCAAACTCCTACGCATGTAAAAGCTCCTATTTTTTTAGTGAAAAGCTCAAGTTGTGAAGCTTAATTTTTGCCCATAAAATAAGATAACTTGAGCTACAAAATTCGTGGCGGTACAGTAACGGATTATCGTCTTAGTGTTTTACGAGAATTCTGCACACACTCAGATGAAAAGTAAGAAAAACAGTGACTACTCCAAAAGTTTTTATGTGGAAAGCCCGTAAAGGAAAAAACCACGTGGTCTAGCACAGTTGTGAAAATCCATTATTGATTAATGATTACAGAAATCTCTTATCCCACAGACAGGAAAAAGTAACTATATTTTTCAGAGTACAACGTTAACTGACAGTGTCTGATTTGTGGTGATCGATGTAGGTTAGCAAAGGTCGGCGATGGTTGATTGCGATCAGCGGTAGTCAACGATGGAGGTGTTCGACGACGATCAGCGGTGGTCGACGATGAACGACGGCGATGCTTAAGTGCAGCTTCTCCTCAAGGTCTAAGCCCCTCTTTGCCAACCCTCAAGGTCTCAGACTCTCTCTCCAAACTTCAGCTCCATCCCCCTCTTTTAAGAGGGATGAGGCTTTATTTATAGTGTTTTGGGTGCAATTAATGCAGAAATATGAATCATTTTGATGAGACGATACAAAAAGCTTCCCTTGATCATACGACGTTTACTGGACATTCGAGTGCCTTAATGATGTCAGAATTAAGTGGTCTTGGGCTCGTTGGATTCATATTGTCGAGCCGCTCGATTCAAGTATAAACTTGTCATATTCGACAACCCTTTGATCTTTTAAATGGTCCGAAAATCATTTAAGTGTGGTTCAATGACATAATCTGGGCTTAATTTAACTCGGATTGGGCTAGTTTTCATATCATTAGACCCGTCTCATCAAGCCGGTCGGTTTGACAATAAGTTTGCTAAAATCGGAGTTCTCGGAGTTTTGAATGACTTTTTATTAAGATTTGAATGTTTAATGCTTAAAATATCGTCTCGAGATTCGTGTCATGCATCGAGATTCGTGCCATATGATGAAAATTTGTTGGTGGCGTTTCATTATATCTATCAAATTACACAAAGTAGTAATAATGGATTAAATTTAAAAACTTCAACTTTGTTTTCATATGATAATTTGACTTATTTGATGCCTATTAAATTAGAACTTTAGAGCTTCTACAACTTAGTCACGCATGCTAGAATAAAACTTCAAAGCAAAATTATAGATTGATGTTTCATATAGAATAAAACTCCCAGATTTCCATTTCACC